GGTCACTCAAGCGCTCGCACCATATGGAAGTCACATTACGCGGCGGACGGAATCTTCTTGGTGTTGCCATTGAAGCACAGCATCAGAAGTGAATAATGTTGTTACATGCTCACCACTTCGATACGCTTAATATTCCTCTACCGAATCTGAAATTCCTCACACTTTTCCTAAGCCCCGTGAAGAAAGGTGTGGAAGGGCAGGTTGTAGTTACTGCACGCACAAATTTGTCTGCTTGATCCCCGAGGAAAGAGAAACTGGGAGACCCCTCTAGAAACGGATCAGAAACGGAACACCGGAGAGCGCTGGAGAATCCATCTTCTTATCGTGATAGCAATTTCTGCAGGCATCGCATAAAGGAACACGATCACCAAGAACCCCATCGTTAATCATCAAAGTGCTACACCCTCGGTAGAGAACACAATGGAAAGGAAAATACTGTAGGCCGTGGAACTAAAATGGCTACTACCTGAAATAGCGAGGACGAACTACGTGACATTATGCAAGCCATCACATGATCGTGTCACAAAGTATCGCACTATTCAAGGGTGTGGTCAGGCTGGGTTGGCTATTCCGTGGCTGCGGGGTAAGCAGATTGGTTGAGAAATCAGTCCGTGTAAGTTGGGTTTATACAGTTTTACTGTCTAACTAGTTTGAACAACAAGCTGAAATTTCAGGCCTCTGACTAAGGTGCTATTCACCGAAGTACTGCAATTGCTAATATATATTTTGGAAACCTTTTGAGACTTTTGAAGTTTAGTTTTCTGAACTAAAAATTTGAAGCCCATATTGTTACCACACATTGAATGATTGCTAGCAGAACCAGACTTTCAGGCCGTTCTTGACTTCAGCGTCCTCTTCTCCGCAGAATGCGGCACTACAGTGTGGATTCCTATGATAGCTTGGCTATGCGTTTGAGGAAAGCAGGTTTTTCTGGGGGAGAGCTAATGTCGCCCCTTAAGTTATACAGGACTGGTGCTAGATACGATTTGAGTATGAAACTGAATACTGCTGAACCCAAGAATGGTATTGAAGGAAACAATGGAGCAGTTTGAAACCGCTATGGAAACGGTGAATCCTTCTCTGCGGTCTACCGCTGAAGAACGACTACATTGCTACAAAATTCGACCTCAAACCACGAGAAACGGTCACATGGTGAGTATTTATCACGTCCTTTTTTTCTGTTTCCCAAAACTGCAGTCTTCACACTGCAGACGGGGGCGCGTCAGAGTCGCTGGTTGCTTGGTGCAGCGCAAACCCGTTTTCCACAACAAGTGACAGCAATTGGTGGCAAACGGGCTGGCGATCTGAGACCAGTTAAATGAATCCGGCATGTCATCGGCTCATATAAAAGCTAAGAAGAAGAATAAGAGGTATATGCACCGATAGCGTGAGCGGAATCAGGCCTATGTATGGTCGGGCTA